TTTTCAAACAAGGCTTAGAAGAAAGCAGCACCTTTCTGATATAGTTCCTAAGCATCCAAAAGTCTGATGTGCAAGCATACCTTTAAAAAACCCCTCTCTTATGCTATTCCTAATACCAAAATTTTTCAGACTAACCACTGTTATGCAATTGATCATTCAATGAATACGTCAGTGCTAAAGAAAGTATTTTGGAGGTATCACTCCAAGAAGAAAGATTTAAAAGATTTCATGAGCTCGCCCTTTATGAAAACTTCTTGTTCACTTGCAAGGACAACTGGACTTTCCACATTTACTGTGTCTGACTGTGTTTCGGGATAGGCTTGCAACACTCCGTTTTAGCTTTGAGGTACCGTCATTCAGCTGCATTCACCCAACATTTACATTGCAGGTATTTCATTTCAGTGAAGTTTTGAGCAGTACAAGCCAGGGAAACAGATACCCTTCTGAGAAGGTAAGACACAGTTGCAGCTCTGAGATGAAGCAACAGGTTCCGGTTTGGCAGCCCTTTCCCCTGCAGATCGTCACTTAATCAGAAAGCACGGCAGGGCTGAGCAGCCTCTCTGTCTAGATTTGCAGACCTGCTTATTACTGTTCTTTTATTAGTTATTTAAGGGGCCTTGTGAGATCACACATTTCAACAGCTAAGCCTTCTCATTACAGGTTTCTAACCAAAACAGCAGTACCAATCTAAAATGTGATAAGTGCTTAAACTGCCACCTGCAAAGGTTCGTCTACAGGGCACGCCAAAGGCACCTCGGAGCTTGCTCCTCCCAGGATCTAAGCCAGCAGAGTTTAGCTCAGTGTGTGCAGAGCAATCCCTGTAGGATACAATGGGATTTGGAGGTGGACTGACATGGGCCTGAAGGGGAATTGTTTTGTCATTCTGTACATCTGGTACAGAGGGAGCTGGAGGTGGTGTCTTGATGCAATATCAGCTGTGTGGAGTCAGGATTCTCGTACAGAGGGAGGCTGCACTTCACCCTCAGGTCCAGCTTTGCACAGGAAAGCTCAAGCCTACCAAGAAACTTCTGTTTTCCTGTTTGAAGTGCCAAGAAGCTGGAGGAGTCCATTCCCAGTTCCAGGCTCTGTTAGCTGCAGTCAGTGAACCCAGACCAGGCAGCTCTCTCACCATTGCCAACAGGCTCTTTGGAGAAATTACTTATCCGTTCTTCCAGGTAAGTGGCCGTGCTGTCCTTTTTAACAGCTCCTGGTAGTTACGAGCTCAGCAGAATTTCTTCCATCATAAAGTGCAAAAGGAAATGAAACACAACAGCGCTGTCAGGGTGTGCTGCCAAATGACTGCACTCCACCGCCCTTGTGGTCAGGGAGGTTTTCCATCTCAATGGACCAGCGGTTAGACATCGGGAACAGCAGAGCACTGGGAAGCCATGACTTAAAAGCTTTTATATAAAGAAACAGATCTACGGTAACAGCTCTCCCTGGGCATTCCAGAAAATGTGATAGCATTAATCACCGTCAATATATCCTTGCCACGCACACCCGGTGTCTAACAGAGCTGGCGCTTGCTGCGTCATTTCTATCCAAGGAACAAAGCTCTGTGAGCAGCAGAAGACTTTTTTTTCTCCCCCAGTGTCTTCTCTGTTTCCAATAAAATGATTGTACTCACTCTTCCACCTTTCCTTCAGAGTCTATGTGAATATGGGAC